ATGGATTCTGGAGTCCATTCATCCCGTAACAAATAAAGATTTCTTGCCCTTTTAGACAGCAAAATGTATATAAAAATTAACGCCATACAAGATCTAAATCCGTCACAAATCAAATCGTTTGCCCAATTTCGCATAACAGATGTGTTTACTTTAACATTTATAGAAACTCAAGTAAAGAAAACGGATTTGCGGGGAAAGAATCAATAATTTCTAGAATTTATTAAATTACAATTCAAGGATAAATAAATGAAGACAATAGAATTGTTGTTAAATTTCCTCGTCTTACGAAAGACGATATTGCTTTGCGTTTACGTCACAAGTCCTTATTTAGTGCTAACAACAAAAAGGATCTTTCTTAAGCCGAGTGAAACAATTGATACTGATTGCTACTGATAACCGGCAAATTATATATTTTTAAACAAGTTCTCATTTCCCGCGATCGATAGTGCGGTAACAACTTTCCTGAGGAAACGAATTACGCAATTCAAATGAATGTGAAACTCTACCTTTGAATGGTTTATCTTTGTAATAAAAGAAACAAGAAAAAAAGAAAAGAAAGAAAAAGTAAGAAAATTATATTCGTCCGCAATCGAATTTTTTATGCCAATCATCTATATCTGCTCTCCATGTCTTTTCATTCAAATCCTCCACCTTGTGGGATCAATTATACTTATTTTAGAATTAACACATTTTTAGACAGACAATCTACCTTCATGTGAGTAGTACCACAAGTATCCATTTTACGCTTTACTGTGCACGTGTACTTTAACCAATTTGTCGTAGGTATCGACCTACGTACAAAATCTTCCAATATTTTTACCGAATTTGAAGGTAATGGCTTCATTTTTGCGAACAGGAGGATGCTTGTCACTGACTGAACGAAAATGCTTAAATCGGTTCATAATTTGATGGTGATCAATAATTCGTATATACTTTATGGAATCTATTGAGCTTGGTTCTGGATGTTGCCAACGTTCTGCCAAAACAAATATACCTCTCATCTTTCGGTGATGCGTATAAAAAGGTCATATAAGCCTGACTGGAAAAGTTTCTGTTTATCGGTTTTTGCTTAGAAGATTAAAAAAAAGGAACATTTAAACGAAAACAAATTGAAATAAACTTCTTAAGGATTTATTTAAAAAGAAAAACAAAACATTTGAAGAATACTCTCTGAGAGATTTATATTAAACAAAAAAAATAAAATAAAATAAAATAATGGCAGGTAAAAACATTATAGTTGGACGACGGTGCAATTACATACCCTACATCACTTCGCTTAGCGCAGTTATTTACTCATTTTGGTCACAATACATCAAAGAGTACTCAATTTTTATGAGAGCCCGCATAATGCAAGGTTAGACTTTCTCTCCACGAATGAGCTTACTTTTCGCGCTAACGCCTACATATGTTAGGGCCCCAAAATGATGGACCTATGTGATTCAAATTCCCCACCGTCAATTTGTTTTGCTCAATCGCTATTACGAATTAATTCTCATCATAAAATAGCAAATATTAAGCCCTTTTTCGCTTTAAGCGCGCTTCCTACTTATAAGATCTCTTATATGAAGTAAGTGGGGGCAATAAATTTTAATTTTTGGTATCGTGAACAAAGTTTCATAACAAAAAAAATTAACAATAACGCTATTACGATATATAAGTGTTTACATTTCATAAGAATCCTTATGTGCGTTAGTATCCACAAAATTGCCCTACATGGTCCAAATTTAGGAAAGCTGATCTTTTTCGTTAATTTACTATTATGAGCCAATTTTCACCATGAGGTATTGAAAATTAGTTTTTTTGCCACATAAAGATTCAAATCTTGTAGGATCGGTTATATGAAAGAGGGTTCAAGAAATTACCTCAGCCGGTTTAAAGTTTTCACACCTAGCCACCTTTGTCGAGAAATTGCAATTTTTTTTCTTTTCAGAATTGGGGAAGTGGTCGAAAACGTGGACCGATCCGAACCATTTCCGATAACGCATCAATGCAAGCTAGTATCCCACATGTCATCAAAATATCTCAAAAACTGCCACCTGTAGCTTGAACAAAAATTTACATCGACACACTCTTCACACGAACAGACAGACTTAGATCAATTTAGAAAATGGTTCTGAATCGATCGTTATAATAAAAGATGGGTGTGTTTTAACCCCTTGTGGGTGTTGCATATGTCCGCACTAACTTAATATACCCTGTACCACAAGTGGTATAGAGTATAAAGAGAAAAAGGGAAAAAAACTTCAATAGGAATGATATCTATCTGATTATCCGTATATAGAACTCGTATTCATTTTCTTAAAAGTGCATTTTTTTTCTTTTTCTAAATTGAAATAAGCGCTTTTTATATTTTCGATTGCCTTTAAATTCGGCTTGGAAATAGTACTAGGATCGATTTAAGACTCTCGTCATCCAACTATCGTACGATACAAAATATAAAATCGATACGATCGCTTTTTTCTTGGATTAATGGTATTCGATTGCTTTCGAGTTGGGCTTTTCGTTCACACAATGGAATATTTGCGATATGATCGTTATACGTATAGCAAAATAATGCAGAGAAGCGAAAGAGAAGTAAGTGAATAAACAAATGAAACATTGATAAAAAAAATTAAACAAAAATATAAACAAAAGTATAAGAAAAAGTTTCATATATAACATATAAACTGAAAAAGCTGGGAAGTATACTTAGTATCTTCTTTTTTTTTTTTTTTTTTTTCTAATATCTTTTTTAAGTCAATAATTTAATTTCACGCAGCAAAATTAATCGATTTTGTGATATATGTTTTCATTGTTATGCATAAGCCGGCGCAGAGATGCAATCGCGAATGAAAGTCACGCGATGACGGGTAAGAGTAAATCCTCTCCCTTTGCCTTGCATCGACCGTAAGTTTCTAGAAGGTTCCCACTTAATATATTCCCTACACAACGAAACGTACTCTTTAGGTTTAACGATGTAATGAAGGAAGAAAGAAAGGAAGGAAGGAAGAAAGGAAGGAATATCGAAAATAATTATTTGATTCGATTATTTTTGGGAACATTTTTGAATTTCTGAGATTAAATATTCTCCCAGTCTTTATTAATTTCATGAAATTTTTTCGATGCGAACACTGAGCCATGTAGCTATTTTGTTTTCAAGCTAAAATATGATTTGTTATATTCGATATCGGTTGTATCGGCTGTAGTTATTGTAAGTGCTCAGTCGGTGAAGACATAACACTTATCGCCCGCCATCTCTTTCTCTTCCCGCACTTCTTCCCGGACGTCAACGTATTACAGGATTAGGCAAATATACCCCGAGTGATTGGTCATGTCATAAAATAAATAAAATAAAACACTCATACGCTATCGAGTACCATTAGTTCAATTTTCGTCAACAGTTACTCTCGACAACAAAAGCAATCAACTATCAAAATGGAAATATGCTATCGAGATAGCTCAGTAACGAGAACGGTAAACCAAGCCTTAGTTTTTTTTTTTCACATTCGTCCCATGTCCAATGCTTTCGATCATTGGCAAATTATCGGACATCGGTTTATGTTTTCATTCACTTATAACAGAAGAAAGCTTTCTTTCATTAGTTTGGAGGTTAAAATAAAATTTAGAAATTTTTAAATTTAAAAAATTTTCAAATTATATCAAAAAAAAAAAAAAATAAAAATAAAAAAATAAAGATAAATAAATAAACAAATAAATAAAATAAATAAATAAATTACGTAAATAAAAGAATTTTATTTAAATATAATTTGTGAATGAAGTTTATTAAAATTAAATGCTCAAGCAAAATATTTATACATTTTCTGTTTGTTTTTTAAAGATAAATAAAAGCAAGTGTGGTGAGAGAAAACAAGATCTACATCGTTTTTGATTTTAAATTACATACACATATAATGTAGTTTATAAATAATACAACAAGCAATCAGAGAAATAGTTCAAGACTTAAATACCTGACTTAAATTAAAAGTTTGCCGGATTATTTCTATTGGTTTGTATTTTTATTGTTTTTGTATTTGTTTAATTTTTTTTTTTTTTTTTTTTTTGTTTTCAATTTTTTACTACGCAAATAGTGTTATACTCCAGTAGGTAGGTGTTTTTTTTTTGTTTTTTTTTTTCGTTTTTGTTTTTTTTTTCGTTTTTATTTATTTTATTTTTTTAAATTTATTTTGTTGTTTTCTTTTTAAATATTTTTCTAATATTTAATTTTTTTTTTCTTTTTTTTTTTTATATAATTGTGTTTCATATATAAATTTGATTTTTGTTTTTGTTTTTCAAAGTTTCTTAGTAATTTTCAAATTATGCATTTATTAAAATTTTAAAATATGTATCATTTAATTAATAATTGTCAATGAGTGTTCTTAGAAGAACTCAAAGAAAAATGTGTCGTTAAGGAGTGGTGGGACTTGAAAACATATATCGAAATAATCAAGGAAAAGAAAAAGGTAGTAACCAGTCCTTAATTATAGGAAAATTTCCCTCTGGTCGCGTTTTCTTTAAAACTAAAACACATGCGTATGTAGCGTGAGTGTATGTTTGTGTGTGTATGTGTATATGATGGTGTTTTTTTGAAATTTTTAGTTTTCCCACGAGCAATTCTAAAACATTTAATATATTTTCATAATTATTTTTTCAGGATTTTTTAGCTTCTTTTGTGTGTGTGTTTGTGTGTTCGTTTGTTTGAATGTATGTGTGTGTGTGTGTGTGTGTGTTTGTGTATTTGTGTATTTGTTTGTTTGTTTATTTGTTTTAATGCATGTGTGTGTGTTTGTCTGTTTGTTTGCAAATTTTATAGTTTTCAAAAAGAAAAAAAAAAATATATATATATGTATATAATATATATATATATGTATATAATATATATGTATATATATATATATTATAAACTTTTGTTCAACATTTTTTCAATTTAGTTACATTTATAACTTTTTGTTTGTATTTTTGTTGTTGTTGTTGTTTTTGTTGAAATTTAGTTGGATGCCTTCTGCTGTTATCATTATCATTATTATTATTATAATTATTATTACTGCTTTTGTGTATGTTATCATATTTAATTTGTATATAATAATTTAATAACTTTTAAGGAAATGGAAGCGGATGGATGTATTATTTCTTTTTATTCGTTGCTATAAGTGGAGCGTTACGTTGCGGTGTTGTCGGCCGTGATGAATTCATGCCGCTATACATATACTTGGCTTTCTTTTCGGAGGGCTTTAGAATCTTGAAAGAGTTAATAATAATTAAAAGAAACATTTTATTATATATATCGAAACATATATGTAAAGCCTCTTACCTGGAATGAGCACATTAACGTTTCATCCACAGTCATCATGCCGCCAGCATTGTCAAATTCGCCACAATAATTGGGAGCCGAAAATAAAGTGACCAATTGACGGCGGGCAAAGAATTCATAACCATCTTCAACGACCTAATTGATATAAATAAGAAAATTGAAATAATTCAAAACGATAAATGTACGCCGCAGGCCTTAAGCGCATTGATTATTAATCGCTTGAAACTTAAAGTTAACGAATTCAAATTAATGTGAAAATCGTTCCCTGTGTATCCACAAAATAAATGATCTAAGGAATGTTTTTTATTTGTTGATATGAAAATAACAGTTGATCATATATTATGTACCTGATGAGCACGGCATATTAGATCCATTTCATGTTTATGCAAAAATTTCGATACAACATCGGCACCAAATGTAAAACTAACGCCGCGATCGTTCTCACCCCAGCCCTGCACATCTTTGTCGGGATCGCTCCATAATAAATCGCACAATAAACCGGTATCGGGTACATCCGTAGGACGCATTAAACGTCTTATCTGTTCCATACCTTGTAAATCGGGACTCAAACCGCCATGGCAACAAAATATTTTTTCATCAATAATAGCAGCCACTGGCAGACAATTAAAACAATCTGTGAATGTTTTCCATAACTTTACGTTATAACGTCGTTTACATTCATCGTAGAAGCCTTAGTTTTATAAAAAAAAAAAAAAAAATAAGTAAATAAATAAATAAATAAATAATTAAATCAGATCGATGTCATGTCACACTCTCAATAACTCACTCACCGTAAATACGATTAATACTGGCGCATTCGTGATTGCCGCGTAACAAAAAGAAGTTCTCGGGATATTTAATTTTATAGGCCAACAGCAGACAAATCGTTTCCAATGATTGCTTGCCTCGATCAACGTAATCGCCTAAGAAGAGGTAATTGGCTGCCGGTGGAAAACCGCCATATTCGAATAAGCGCAAGAGATCTGTATATTGACCGTGTATATCACCGCATATTATTAAAGGAGCCTCCAGTTCAAGAAGAATGGGTTGCTGTAGGAATATTTCACGGGATTTCAAACACAAACCACGCACTTCCGATTCAGACATTTGTACTGATTTGCCGGTACGACAACTCCTCACTGCAAGATATGATAAAAACGAACAAAAAAATTGAAAACACAAAGAATATATATGATCGGGGATTTTCGGTACACATATTATATTTATTAAGAAAATTGAATGGAAATTAAAAGCATCCAATAAAACGTAAAATTTATTCAAAATTAAAAGAAAAATATATTAATTTATATATAGTTCATACTCGGGGGAAATGCCTGCGTACACTTTCAGACCAACCAACGTTGTCGGCTATGTTTGCAAACAAATTATGTTCCGGTTTGTTTTGGAACTTTTGAAGCCGCGTTTGATTTATATCAACATCTGCTATGAATTCTCGTCGCTGATGCTCAAAAAGCGTTTGAAAGTGCATCACAGCCATTGTAAATTTCTTCCACAACTATTGATTACTACTACTGAGCAATTTGTACGCCACGATTCAGAATTTTATCCAAATTTTCGCAAAATGAGAAATATGTACATTTTAAACGTGCTACTTATGATAAATAAATAATTATTTAAATAAAGAAGTGAGCTAGAGAGGGGAATGACAAATAAATTCAAAAATAATTGCCCTTACCACTGCCCAATATTAAATAATTACTTAGCGAGGATTTTAGTAAAGCAGAAAAAAATCAACCCATCCAATGCTTTGTCATCAACCACTAATCCATATAAAAAATTCAAAGCATATTGTTAACTGTAGACAAGCTAGACCTTTAAGCTTTTATATCGATCTTCTATTTTTTTTTTTTTTTTTTTTTTTTTTTTTTTTTTAAATAACAATTTTCAATTCGAACATATTATACAAATTGAACTTTCTGGTTGTATCGGACAAAATAACCTGAACAATTTGCAATATAGTATCAGTATCATGTTGTTGTATGAAAAAAGGAACACTGCTTCCGTGTGAATAATACGAAACGTATGTATATAATCACGTCACTCAATAATTTCATAGGATGACATATAGATGTAAGATGACGACCGACGAATACATATGTACAGATATGTATATATACATATATATATATATATATATATATATATATGTATTGATAACTCTACAAAGGTGTAGGATGGCATAAAAATGCAGGATGACTAGCGACGAATCCGTATTATTTTTGAATAGTACAAACCTTTAAAATATCAAAAAAAAAATCAAAATTTCATGACATTCCGACCAGTAGTTTCCAAGCTAATCTTGTTTTAGCGCGTGACACACTACATACGAAATTTAGATTTTTCCATTGCTTTGCAAAAACAAATATAACGTCAGCAAAACAATAAATAAGTAGCCGGGGATAGGAAAGAATCGTGACCACTAGGTCGGTCTTGGCGGATTCATATTTCAGCGCGATAGAGTCTACTTTGATCGTAGCTATAGAGAGTGTTGCTTAGTTGGTAAAAGCATAAAAGCTTACTGGTTGGGCCCACGTCCGCTATACCAGTCACATTCCTATCTGTTTCTCTTTCCACAATTCTGAGCGATTTGTGAAATTAAAACAAACTAATAACGGATCGCGTTTATTTTCAACCTCGATTTACGATCATCGACTACCAAGTTTTAGTTCTCAATCATCCCAGTCGATAACAGGTCACAGGTAAGCGGACCGACATATACCTACCTTGATTGACCAAGACTTAACTTTTACACGCTATGAGATTCATGATAAGTGTTAGATGTAAAATTAAGTCCTTGCCTGTCTTTGCAAGACATAGCTTGATGTGATATTTATGGCATTTGGCCAGCAAGGGCGTCATAATTTTTTTTGCTTTCCATTATCATGACCTACTAATAATAATAATGCAGAGAGAGGGATGCGCCTTGATATAACGTAATGCATCCATTATTCGCAATGCTATCTCGCGGATTAAGCAGAAAAGTGCTCCTGCACACATTTTTATTTCTTCACAGAGGTCAATCTATTCGAGTCTCGAAAAATCAAAGTAGTGTACGCACGTCTTAATGAGATAACTTGTACTAGGTTCATATAGCAGATCCGGAGAATCCACTATTTTACAACGCGGCTTATTTTCTCGTGAGTTCAACGTTTTCCATTATTTAAAAAAAATTTATATATAACATTACAATATATATATATTACAATATATATATATATACGGGTGATATTTGAGTCCAATGATGACTAAGTTGTAGTAAATGTTTAATAAAAATTATTAAGAATCAAAGAGAATTGCGGTATTTCATATGAATTAATAACAAGCAGTTGAAAATGTTTATTTCCGTCCCGTTTATGCGGACAGTTTGACATTGGGAAACAATTATTTCTGTATTTGTTGTGTGAACGCTGCTGCACCTGAAATGTTTCCGGGAACGGAAGTATGGAAAAACATTTTCTATATATATATATATACATAT